GCTTCCTCTCCCAGCTGCCCCACGGCCTGATCGAGTCCTTCTCTGCCACCCTGGAGGATGTGGCCCACGCGGTGAGTTGGGTGGCCCTGTGGACAGACCCCATAGACAGGCCCCTGGGGGCCAGGCCCCTCGGCAGGACATGACCCTCCAGCTCCAGCAGGAGCCCCTGGGCCTCCTCGGGGACAGGAACCACAGGAGTCCAGCTCCCCCAGCCCTGGAGGGCGGAGGCTGGACCAGGGGGCACAGGCCCCAGGGAGGATCCTCCTGCCTGTCCAGCTCCTGGGGCCAGGCGCGGAGGTGAGCGGCCGAGCGTCTGCAGGACGGGCAGCGAGACTGGTGGCGCAGCCAGGAACCTCCCATGCAAACCGCCTCGCCGTCCAGCCCCGGCTGGGTGGACTGTCCCCACCCGCGGGCCACGCTTCTCTCCTCCCGAAGAAGTCGCACAAGTCACAGTGACCTCAGGAGGCCCAGGCTGTGCGAGGGGCCAGGGCAGGGCGCCGGCCAGTCTCCACGGGCAGCTGGGGCCCGGGAGGCCAGGCCAGCCACTGAGCAGCTGCTCTCCCTCCAAGGAGAGGGGGTGCGGGCGGGCGGTGGCAGGACCCAGGCACAGGAACTAGGAGCTGTGTCCACCTTGGACATGTCCTGGCCTCCAGCAGCCCTGTCCTGGGGGTCAGGGGCCACCCCACTGCCACCTTCCTAGGCGTGGTGCCCTCGAGTCCCTCCTGGCCGCCCACAGGCAGGTGAGCACGACCCCGGAGCCCGTCCCCAGCCTGTTTTGTGTTTTATTAGAGACGGGGTCTCCTGGAGCTGCTTAGGGCCTCACCTTTACCCCTTGACCGTGTGGCCTGTCCACGGGAGGTGGGGACATCAGCCCCCAGACCGTGTGGCCTGTCCACAGGAGGTGGGGACGGCAGGCCCCTGACCGTGTGGCCTCTCCATAGGAGGTGGGGACGGCAGCCCCCAACTGTGTGGCCTGTCCACAGGAGGTGGGGACATCAGCCCCCAACTGTGTGGCCTGTCCACAGGAGGTGGGGACATCAGCCCCCTGACAATGTGCCTGTCCACAGGAGGTGGGGACATCAGCCTCCTGACCGTGTGGCCTGTCCATAGGAGGTGGGGACGGCAGCCCCCAACTGTGTGGCCTGTCCACAGGAGGTGGGGACATCAGCCTCCTGACCGTGTGGCCTGTCCATAGGAGGTGGGCACGGCAGCCCCCTGACCATGTGGCCTGTCCACAGGAGGTGGGGACGGCAGTCCCCTGACCCGTGGCCTCCCTGTCCACCAGGATGTCATTGTGCACGTGAGAGACGTCAGCCACCCCGAGACGGAGCTGCAGAAGGTCAGCGTCCTGTCTGCCCTGCAGGGCCTGGGCCTGCCCGCCCCTCTGCTGGACTCCGTGGTGGAAGTGCACAACAAGGTGGACCTGGTTCCGGGGTGAGTGGGCCGCGCTGCACCCGCAGCTTCTCCTTCCCTGGACATGCCCGTTGGGGAGGGTCGGAGTGGACTGTTGCTTTCCCACGAGGGACAGATGTGTCCGTCTCCCAGCACTGCTAAGGGCCATTGGCATCCGGCCTCCCGTGACATGGGTGGCAGTGGCCTTTCCTGCTGAAGTGACTTGGTCAGGCCCCTTGGGTGGGACCTCCCCTCTCAGCTGCCCAGGGCTGACAGGTGTGCTGGCCTCTCTCAGGTACCGACCCCCAGACCCGAGCGCAGTGGCCGTGTCCGCCCTCCGGGGACAGGGGCTGGAGGAGCTGCGGGTGGGGCTGGAGGAGGCCGTGCTGAGGGCCACCGGGAGGCAGGTGCTCACCCTGCACATCCAGCTGGCCGGGCCGCAGCTCAGGTGAGGGACCCAGACGCGGGTCTGCCCCCGACGGCGGTGGGCCTGGGCCTCGCAGCGTGGCCACTTTAGCTGCCTCCGGGCACAGAAGGGTGGGTAGTGGGCGTGGAGGTCCATGCTGATGCTGGCATGTGCATACACCAGGTGCTCAAGCTGTGCGCACTCGTGTTGCGGGGCTGCACGTCCTGTCCACCTCCAATGTGCCCGGGCAGCCCTTCGGCCCCCACCTCCCGGGGCTGTGGAGCGCAGTGGGCAGTGGGCAGAGGTGGGCTGGACTTCAGAGACGGCCACGCCCTCATGGGCCTCTCTGCCCACAGCTGGCTTTACAAGGAGGCCACGGTGCAGCAGGTGGACGTGCTGCCTGAGGCCGGGGCAGCCCACGTGAAGGTCATCATCAGCAACTCGGCCTATGGCAAGTTCCGGAAGCTCTTCCCAGGATGAACCTGCCCGCGCTGGGCACTGTGTGGCTTCCGAGCTGGAGACAAGTGGCCGCGGCCTCCCTGGCTGCACCCCCACCCCGTCCACGGCTGAGCAGGGCTGGCGCTCGGCCCAGCCTGCACCCCTCCCGCAGCTGGTCAGCCTGTGGCGTCCCTGCTGCTATTAAAGTCCATGTCAGGTGTGTCAACAGCATCGCTCGTTGCTGGGCTGCTTGCTGGGGACAGTGGCCAGTAGGGAGCAGGGCCGCTTCCGTGTCCAGCCGCGTGTTCGGGCTCACAGCGGCCTTGCGATTGAAGGCCCTCATGCGGGAGGGGCCATCAGGGGCCCCAAGCAGGAAGGAGGAGGGCAGCCGGCCGCTGGAGGGGGAGGAGTCTGCAGAAAGTGGGAGGAGCCTGCAGGACTGGAAGGAGGCAGCCTGAGGCGGGAGGAGGCTGTGGGAGGAGTCTGAGAGGTGGGAGGAGCCTATGGGAGTGGAAGGTGGGAGGAGCCTATAGGAGTAGAAGGAGGCTGTGGGAGGAGTCTGGGGGTGGGAGGAGCCTGTGGGAGGTGGGAGGAGGCAGCCTGAGGTGAGAGGAAGCTGTGGGAGGGGGAGGAGTCTAGATGGGGGAGGAGTCTGGGGGAGGGTTCAGGTGACCCTGGGAAGGGCGCTCGCAGCAGGGCCTGTAATCCCACCTTTGCTGGGCAGCTGGGTCCAGCTGTGGGTCCTGCTCAGATAGTCCATCAAGAACCTCCCACCCTGGACATCTGGTCTCCTGATACCTGCCCGGGCTCCTGTCCCCCAGCTGACCTCCAGCTGCCCAGGGTCTTACCAGACTCCTCACCTCTAGCCTCCTTAGCCCAGACCCTGAGGATGGGAAGAAGCTGGGGGTCTCT